TGTGTGTCATCCTTGCTCAGGGGCCATGCTAATCTTCTCTGTATCATTCCAATTTTAATGGATGTCCCGGAGGACAAGCACATCTAGTTTCTTGCAGTAGTTTTCCGTTCCTTATTTTTCTGAGTCAATTTACAAAGGAAAAAAGAAAGACAAAGCAAAGATGCTGCCACAGTAACCCTTGATAATTATGGCATCTTTGAGCGCTGACGTCTGAACGCGTGACCTGTTGGTTACCACACATGTCAGTAAGTAGTGTGCCTCATCCATCATACCCCCCCACCCCCCTCTAGCAGGCCCCCGAGGTTTTCAAAAAACAAAAAAACGAGTGTGTCTCATCCACCTTTGGTCCCTTACCCACGTGGTAGGTACAAATAGTTTCTCCTATTTTAAGCTTCATGGTGTTGGTTTCTCCACAAATTTTTCGTTAATCTGACTCACTCACCCATAATGAGAGCAAAGGCGTTTGAACCAAGTGCCCGCCTGCAGGTATTCTGACAGCAGCCCAACAGCATATGTCCCTGCCCACAAAACAATGAATGTCACCTTTTTTGTGAGTACCTGGATACCGTACAGATGTGGACATCGTTGTGAAAAATACTAAACATCCAGGAACAGATTCGAATGTTGCTTATGCTTTTTCTACTAAGTAAAGAGGTTTTTTTTTTCCCTTTTTTTCCTTTTCTTGAAAAGGGCGATGGCCTTGAGATATCATCTTCAAACTTACCAACCCCAGGTCCCCAGGTAAATTCAGAGTTATTTACTCATCTGAGTTCATTGAAATTCGAACCGAGGTCTGAATTTCAACAGTTTAAAGGTGTACCAAATGAGATAGGCCCAATCTACCAAGAGGCAAGTTGCTTGCTTGGGAGCGTGAGAACATGCAACCTGTTGCGGGAAACTGCTCTTCATTTGCCACAGGCTACCATAGTAGTATGTACACTCCATCAGAATGGTATTCGGGTGTCTTGATTCCTGTTGGGCCTTTCACTAAAGGATAAGCCAAAATTGATTACATGCCATGAGAACAGAAGAGGAGACAGGATAAGTCCGATAAGGCAAACCTCCCTATACAAGCACAATCGCAAATCACTTTGTAATTATTTGTTGTTTCGAGCTTCAACTTGTTTGTTTATACCTACAAGGCAGTAACTGATATTCAAAGCAGTAAGAGTCTCACTGGCACACCCCGTCATGGGGTCTTGACTGGTCAGGCCAGAGAACTGGGGGTGGAAAAGAATGGCCAGCACATAGTCAGGTGATAGAAGTTGATAAGGGCAACGAACCAGAAAATATCCATGCAGGCAGAGCGGGTGGGGGACGCTGTCTGGAAGGAAGGAAGAAAGAAGAAGAAGAGACTCACGAATGTCCTCCTCTGTCATATTCTCAAACACCTATGCACCTCGTAAGCGGAGGGAAGAGAACGAAACACGAAAGAAGAAAGAGGAACAAAGAACGAAGAACGAAGAAAGAAGAAAGAAGAAAGAAGAAAGAAGAACGAAGCAAGAAGAAAGAAGAAAGAAGAAGAAGGAAAAAATAAAAAGGAAGATGGAAGAAAGAAGAAGAAGAGACTCACGAATGTCCTCCTCTGTCATATTCTCAAACACCTTTGCACCTCGTAAGCGGAGGGATTCCACCGTCCGATTAACCTGTCACAGGTGCATTTCAGATTCATGACAACCCCATTCATTTCACATGAGAAAACTGCCAGATGTATCAGAACTCCATACAAGTTTTGCAAAATTATTACACAGAACTGGCATTTAGTTAAAATTGACATTTTTTAATGATTTTATGATTTTTTCCAAATTTCTCGCCCGCAAGGGTACTTGCTTGCTTGTGAAGGCCGCTAGGGCCGGTACTTACCTGTGGCCGTGACATTGAGGGTTGCAGCGGGGAAAACCCGCAAGTGGCGGGAATAGGCCCGCGACAGCAGCGGGGAAAAACTCTCAAGTAGCAGGTAGGCCGGTACCACACCAAGTATTGGTAGATGTGTCGGGTACTCTAGGCCGAGCAGAAGAAGACGAAAGTTGGCATTTTTACAGGCCCAGTAGTTGTGGGGTAGGTCTAGGCGGGTACCAGTCCAAGTAGTCTGAGTCTAGGGCCTTTACCGGCAATATCAGAGTCTGCAATGATGTTTCCCTCCGAAAGGGAGGAGGTACCGGTTGCGTGGAGGCCGTGCGGCCTGGAAAGTCACCGCCCAAGTGGCAAGCAGGCCGCTATATCTCCAGGAGGAGCGAAGTGCTCCTCCTCATTTGCAGTGTGCAAGTTTGGAGTCACGCAGCTGGAGCGCTGGAGGGGCAGAGTTGGAGTACAGCGCTGTGTGGGAAAGAGGAGCGCCCAGCTCCCCAACATGGCTATGGTGGAGGAGCTCGGGCTGGAGGAGGAAGAAGAGGACGAGGAAGGGGGAGTGCCAGAGGTACTTACCTGGCTATGGTGGAGGACATCTTCATCACACCTTGGTGGGCGCTGGAGGCCATCTTCATCACACCTTGGTGGGCGCTGCATCTGGAAGGCCCCATTGGGGGTAGAGCTACATCAAGAAGCTTCGAGGCAGAGTCAGGCATGGCGGCCTGAGCCAGAGCAGCCATAGCTGCTTTGAGTTGTCTTTTGCACAACAGGGCGAGGCCCTGGCAGTGCGCCATAGCCTCCGCCTTCAGGAAGAGGAAGGAGAAGGGTGGCCATGTGTCACATGCCAAATGGCGCAGACCAGAACCAAGAACCGACCTTTCAAAAATGGAGCAATGATAGCACAGCAGAAGACTGAAATACCAACAATCAGACCCAATCAATATCGGGGTACAGACTGAACACCACCATCATCATCATCAAAGTGTGAGCAGCCCTGGCTCCGAACACAGGGACGAAGGGCGGCAGGAGCGGCGTCATACATGGATGAGGAGGGAGGAGAGATGAAGGGGGAAGAAATGGAAAATGTCGCGAACCCAAAATGTCGTCAATATCGATCCCCAAAAATAGTCCCCCACAATGTCTATGTCCAATTGTCAAGTCTGGATCCGAATGTGGCCAAGTCCCTGTGTCGCAAATCTCTCTCTCTCCCTCTCTCTACTCAGAAGAAGGGGAAGAAGAAGGCCAGAGCGCTGGAGGGGAGGCAGAAGGGCAATGGACTGGAGGAAGAGGAGGAAGAAGAGGGAGAAGAAGATCTCTCTCTCTCTCCTGTCTCTTATACACATCTAGATGTGTATAAGAGACAGCAGATGAGGAAGACTCTCTCTCTCTCTCACATAGTCCAACGAGAAAGAGAAGGAGCCAGAGCGCTGGAGGGGGAGAAGGAGGGCGATGGACTGAAGGAGGAGGAGGAAGAAGATCTCTCTCTCTCTCTCTCTCTCTCTCTCTCTCTCTCTCTCTCTCTCTCTCTCTCTCTCTCTCTCTCTCTCTCTCTCTCTGTCTGTGTGTGTGTGGAAACCAGGTACTGACCTGCAAAAGGTGTCGCCCTGATGCAGGTATGGACGCGCTGAAGACGAGGCTGGAACAATGGAGGCACAGGTAAGTCACCAGGTAAGTCCCCTAGCCTCTGCCCATAGCCACCCTACTCTCTAACCTCGCTGCAGTAGACTGCATCCCAACTCGGTCGTCGTCCTAAAGCAGCGCCCAACGCTAGAAGACTACCCAACCCTACCTATCGTCGACTACAACAACTACCCGAAGAATGCCTGCTGATACTGAGGTGGACCAGCTATAAATAGCGCTGGTCCGGCCTAACGAGGTGCAAATCAAACAGGGCCGTCTGATCTATCCTGCGATCGGAGGCCCAGATGAGCTGGCGCCCAAACTGAGGCTACGCCTCAACGGCCAGGCGTCTAACCGAAGCGGCGCTGCCTCTCAAACCCACAGGGCATGGCGCCTAACCGGGGCTACCGGTACCAATTTAGGGCCCCACCCTGTTAGACTTTCAAGCTTGAGTCGACAGTTCTGCGAATCTTAGTTGGCTCAACCTCGCCCACGCGCAAGCCTAGGGTGTGGAGAGTTCGTCACAGAGTCACCCCCACCTAGTGCTATGAGATGGGTGGGGGTGGGCCAACGAGCAAGAGAGCTTTGACATTGGGGATGTAGCTCAGCCCTCGCACCAGGTGGGTAGTCTCGCTGATCCTCAACAAGCATCCATTTTCAATACTTTATTGCATGGCTATGATCCGGACCACCGGACAGGGATCCGGACCGTCTGTGGTCCGTGGTCCGGGGTCCGGGTCTGGATCTCGGTCCGGATGTGTGGGCCCCAGCCCAACGGGCAAAAAATTTTTGGGTGGTCCAAGGCGTTCGTTCACGCCCTAGGCCGCCCCAGAAAAATGGTGCCTGATTTTTTACCGCCCTCACCAACGATCCGGAAGGCCCAGAAAGTCTACGAGGGGCTCTGCTAACTTTGGTTTTGTTTCCCACCTGCGGTGCAAGGGTGCGGTGCACCCAGAGCAGTGCGGTCGTCACCGATGCGCCCAAAAAAAAAAAAAAGTCGTTGTTATGGGTGAGAACACTCGCACGCGTGAGAGAGAGAAAGAGAGAGAGAGAGCAAACAAATAACTCCTTATAATTTATTGGTAAACCCCTGCGGGTTATCCGAGAGGCCCATGCAGATAATTAGCAAGGGCCTTCTCACCATGAACTAAGTAATGCTCATAGCCATGTGAGGGTCATGGCACACCAAGTATATATGTTGTTGATTCACATTAAGGTCCGTGTTTCAGCAGTTATGGGACAACTGAGCACGCGAGTTTCTGGGCAGTAGCAGGCGAACTCACCACGTGCTTTTTAGGGCTTCCCTCCACTACTCACCAAATGTGCAAAACCAGAATGAATCTTCTGCTAGAACATGGAACCATACGCCGCCATATGTTTTGTATTTCGTGCAAGTAGCGACGAGTGGAGCAAGGGCTTCAGCGCCAC